CAACATAGTATGTGTTGCTAGCAGAATTGTGGCAACTGAGTCCGCATTTGTCGGCAAGTTGATGCCTTCACGAGATAACAATTTTGTATAGCAACTTGCCAGCAACTTGTGCTGCTCTAAAATCGTCTGATTTAAAATTTGAGCTGTTGCTGTCATGTTGCTGTAATAATTCATAGGATCACACAATGCTGTCATATTGTTAGCAACGCGAAGTAAATTTGATGCTGCTCTCTTGCCGACAAATTGCTGGCAATACATATATCCAATGTTGCCTGCGTGTTGCTTCAAATATTAAATTACTCGAAATCAATTGAAGCAAATGTACGGCAAGTTACCAGCATCACAAGCAATCACAGGTTTGCGCAATTTTGCTCAGACACGCTTCGCTATCTGGGTAGTTTAAAAATTTTATTAGTAAGAAAATAATTTTTTTTAAATAGACTTGGCAAGATCTGTGTTCAAAAACAAAAGCAAAACATAGTCAAATAAGTAAATACAAGAAAGGAACAGGTGGTGGCCCTGCTTTATTACCTTTGGAGCAATTAACATCTACGGAACAGCAGGTTTTGGAAACAATTAATGCAACAGCAATTAGTGGCCTTGATAATATTGCAGAAACGGAAGCAGTATTTGTACGTACTTTCTTTTTTTATACATAATTGTAATGTTAATTATATAATTTTTCTTTAACTTTGTACATACATACATATATAGCCTTGGCCAAAGGTATTAAGCACCTATATTTTTTCATTTATCTGGAATTCTTTTACCTGCATTGCTTTCTATTGGTTACCGACATTATACATAAGATTAAACTTTAAACTTATGTATAATGGCGGTAACCAATAGGAAATGATACAGGTAAAAGAATTCCAGGTAAATAAAAAAAATATAAATGCCTAATATTTCTGGCCAAGCTTATATTATCTATTTGTTAAATATAATTTTGTTTATAGGAATATGAAGATGTAGAATACTTGGATGAGTATCAAGAAATATCAGATTCTGAAGGTCCTGAAGCAACGGTTGTGGAGGCAATGAGTACGAATAATAATGAGGCTACAACGTGCAATATGCAAAATTCTTCTACAAAGAATCAAATAATGATTGTCGTAAATAAAGAGAATAAAGTAATGGCTACTAATAACAAAGAAAATAGAAATAAAATCGTTAAAAATACACCTATGACAGAGAGGAACACAAAAACATGTAACACAAAACAAGGACATATTAAACAAAATGAACCACACAAACAAACAGTAGCAAGCCATAGATTTGAAAAAACAATGGAATATACTAATGATTTAGTAGGCCTAACAGCAAAAGATCAGCAGATGAGAAAGAAATATTATAGGAAAAAATTAAAATTAATGTTAAGAGATGTAACAGTAAAAGAAAGAATGGCAACTGCATTAGAAAATATATCTAATGTTTATCCGTTTATAAAAGACTAATTTTCAAGTTGTGATTTTCAAAGACTTCATATCTTTTATTTGTGTTTATGATTTAAAAGATTATTTTTATTTTTATGTATACTACTATATCAATATTAATTTGTGTTACTGTACTACTAATACTTGCCCGTTGGGCCTTATACTTGCTAATTATCATAATTATTACTATATATTATATTGTCATACTCATAATACTAAAATAATAATACTGTGAAAACAATTTGTGATACTAGAGTATTATAAATGAAAAGTTCCTATTTTTTGTTACTTTGGGTGCAATAAGGTAACTTATATAAGTACATAAACTTTCAAAACCTTATTAACTTTTACTTTTTGTTTTTATTTTATACTTTTATAATGTAAAACGTTATAAGGTTATATACATATATAGATATATGAGATTATGTATTACGTTGACATTTGTATCACTTTAGACATGTGTTAATAAATAATACACATATTTTAAGTAAAATGTATTATTATATGTAAGTAAACATATTTTGAATCAGTAATCTTCGCAAATTTCTTCCTACGACAAGCTCTGGATTAATACGGTTCCGTTCTACATTTTCATTTACATTATCATTAATATCTAATCCAAAATCAAAATCATAATCTTCTGGGCACAGTAGTGGTACATTTTCTTGAATGCACATGTTATGTAATACTACACAAGAATTAATTATACGCGATGCTACATCTGGTTTATAATGCAATACCCTATGTTTCAATAAACAGCGGAAACGCATTTTCAATAAACCATTTGTCCTTTCTATAAGAGATCGGATTCGTCTATGTGCTATGTTATAGTGATCTTCAGAAGAGTTTGGTTCAGCATTCATGATAGGTGTCAATAACCAGGGTCTTAAGGCATATCCAGAATCACCTAGAACATAAAACAATCAGTCAAGATTAAACATTTCATATATTAATGATGTTATCATTCCTTTCAATAACTATTTAATAATTTAATAATTTTATTTACCTGTGTGTTTATATCTAATGCTGATAATCGTCTTGGTTGTTCATTAATATATTCCGACACAATATTACTGATATCTTCAGCTATTCTTTTATTTACTTTGTATAATCGGATAAAATCCTTATTGGATAACTCGAAAAGATCATTTCTTGCATGAAATAATCGCCTAACCACTGCTCCTCCTTCAACTTCTTCGAGAAGACGAATTGCTTCTAAATTTATTAAATTTTGCATGTTCCAATAAATCTGTGAAAAATAGATTACGTGCAATACTCAACGAACTGCTAGGTTATACTTCGCGTGAGCACGAACATGAGCAAACATGAGGTTCGACACCGAATATAGCACTAAATGTGTTTTTTTTTTTACCTAATTTACACCAATCTTTCTTATAAACAATATGTAAAACAAAATCTGCTGTAAGCTATCAACCAACCACACAACTGACACAACGTGTTAAAAGCTATACATTGCCCGCGTTACCTCAATTTCGTATGCGAGATTTCGTATCGACTGGTCTGACCCATTCGATACCAAATATACGATATTTATCGTATACGAGGTACTTGTGAAAATTCGAGAATACAAATTTACTGCGACATGCGATATTCTAATAACATTCGTGAAATATCGTATGCGATATTTTTCGAGATTTTTCGAGAATAGGGCCCCAGATTAGCTACCACCACCCACTGTGTTCATCGTCACTTGTTTCACCCATGTAATCAGAACTACTCTCTGTATCCTCTTCTATGTTTACGTCCTTGGGTAGCGATCATGTAACTTTTTCCCTAGAGCGGAAACGTGAAAAATGAAAAATTTCATGTAACTATTTCTTTCTATTAGTATTGAATAGAAAGAGATAAACTTTTCACTTTTCACGTTCCGTCCTAGGGGAAAAGATACATGATCGATCCCCTGCAATATCATACGGATAAATTAAATCATGCAGTAAATTAAACCTTTCATAGCACGGCAACGTTAAGAAAATTACGCCCTCACAACACGATATAGTCAATCAGCGTTACACATTTTTTCAAGTTATTGCTACTATCTCTTTCTGTTATTAAATTATAAAAGTTCTGAAACGTCCAAAATCAAATTTGTAACTTGAAAATGAAACTTACTTCCGTATAATAATCAGCGTGTTGGCCTGGGGGTCGATTACGGTTCTTGAAACGAAGTGAAAATTACAAAAGTGAACAGATTTGCTAGATTTTGACCAATAAAATCATAGATACCCTAGTGAATTTCCTCACTTTTGTAACTTTTACCTCGTTTCAAGAACCGTAATAAGCCCCCTGAACTGCCATCTTCGGAAATTCTGGTCGTAGATGATGCAGCTCGACTGCCACCGCTTCTCGCTCTACGACGAGGTTCTTGATGCTCTGTTTCGTTTCGATTAAGCGCTTTGACATCTTATGGCTTCTCTTTTTGCGTTTGTCCCAAGACAGATTCCAACCCTTACACAATGATAAAATATATTTATATTTCTTTAATGTGTACTTCAATATGATTTGTACAAGATTAAGTAGCTTCGCTAATGCTTTTCTAACTTACTTGGAAGTGCATGAAGTATTCCACTGCTTTTCTACCTCTTAATGACATCAATGACATCAAGCATCTGCAAACAATTTTATAGTTAGTTTAAACTGCGAGTTTCCGTACGATGACAAAATTACTTATATCTACTTGTACATACAATATAAGTTTATTTCTATATTTCATAAATCTGTAATTTGATGTAATTGTTCAAATACAACTTTAGTAGGTTACCTCTCTACTTTTGCAATCTATATCTCTTTCATATTGCAAGGATACTTTGTACTAAGTTCAGAATTAAATTTGCATTTTACACTTACCTATAGCGTTTTTTCTTGGCTGCACTACCGCCCTGCACTGCCCTGCACTACCCAATAGCGTTGCACTAGTGTTGCACTAGTGTTGCACTAGTAGGCGATAGTGCAGCCAAGAAAAAACGCTACTATATTTTTGCACGTGAAATGTAGCCAGGTATTAGGCATAAACAAATCTGATAAATAAATTAAAAATAGGTTAAGCACGTTTCCCGTGTTGATAAACTATTACGTAATGCGTTCCGAAACCACCACATATTCTACGTCTCACCCCTACTCTCCGGCAGCTAAACGATATACAGTTTTTCGCTTTTTTTAGCGAAACCGTGATCTAACAAACGTTTTACTTAGTATATTCGGAACTAACAAACGATTCCGCATCGATTGACCACGGTTTGAATCGAAAATTGTAAAGAATTCTATATTTACCGGCTAAATTAACACTAAAAATTATTTTCGTGATTACGTAAAAACTATTAACTAACAAACGTTCTAATTAGTCTAACAATCAATAACAAACGACTAACAATCGATTCGTAAAAAAAAAAAATGTCGTAAGTCGAAATTGTCCGGCTAACTTCTATGAGGTGCACTTGGAGTGTAACGTTCGGAGCATTTGGTACCGCTTATTGGACCGCAGCCTATATGAGAGGACATTGACACAGGAAAAACATGAGGTCTGTTTTTTTTTTTATAGCTGAGCTAGTGTAACACACATACATTTTCTATACTTGTGACTTGTGACTTCTGTACTGAGTGAAATAGGCATATGTTTGAATTTGGTGAAAGCGAGAAGGGAAGTTCTAATGCAGTTCGGTGCAGCAATAAATAACAAACTTATGGTATCGCTTGATGGGAAATCTGAACCAGGTGATGGACTGATGCGATGGTGCGGTAACAAAAAATCAGCTATTGATCATGCTCACGTAATTATCAATTCCTTTCTGATCCCCATGATCTAAGATTAATGTTTTCTTGCTTAAAAAAAATTGTGAGAATTAACCGAAGCAAATTAGGTTAGATTATATTAAAATTAAAAATTATTTGACTAATCGAAATAAATTGTGAAGAAATTATAAGATTAACAAATGTAAAATTAAATTTTTATTTTTTTCAACCGAGATATTTTTATTTATATTCTAAGCATTTACTTCTTTTTGTAGATTTTTGAAGCTTATTTGCTCTTTTAGGTTAGAAGAATAAGGGATACAAATTAAATGCCCTTGTTACGCAAGGTGCTGCTGAGGTTGACCGTCCTTGCGTTACTCTTGGTTGCCCTATATTGCTATCAGACATCCGATGGAGGACGCTGGGTCTTGTTCAGCCCGCAAACAAGAAACAGAAGCTTGGCAAACCTTACGGCTGCCTCAGCAGCTACTGCTTATTCCATCAATTATTTGTCTTCAACAGCAAGCATTAAGCCACGAAATCAGACGAATTATTATAACATATGGTGCATTTTTACCAAGGTTGCCTCGAACTCGCCTATGAGACGTAAGTTCCAAATATTCACGGACTCCTTGCTCAGATTCGCCTCTGTGGATATTGCCTTCCATGTGATAATTGATGATGACAGTCGAGACATAGCTGCGATTGTTATCCAAAATGTTATGGCCAGCACTGGAAAATTTATGGAAGTATGTTCTTGTATGATCTTTCTTATTTTTAACAAATTAAAACAAATAGGTCCTTATGAGTATATTGCATTGTCATTAAAATATTTGTATAATTTCCCGAGAAAAAAAATAGGTATAATAATGTGGGCATAATATGGTCAGATGTAAAAATATATTATTAGATATGAAAAGATTTAATTTTATATGAATTTTATATGATTATATATAATCAGATCCAAAATTTGGTGTGGTATGATCAAATCTTTATGTAATCATATTCGACTTTATCTTATTATATATGACAACAGATCCGGTTGAATATAAGTTCAGAATAAACAAGAAGGAACAAAAATGTCTATATAAAAA